CAAACTCGGGTCTTTAGGAGCACTGCTCTGCTCAAATCACCGCATCATCACAAGCCCTGACCAAATCCGGCGGATTGAAGTGCGAGTTTCTGCCAGTTTTCCAACCCACTTGCCTCGAGTCCCATGATGCCGTGTGCAAACGGTATGCTCACTTCCCGACGGCTCATCTGGGCCGTGGTCAGCCTGAGCCTAGCCTCTTTTGGTACAGGTTTGGCGGCAGACGCCTCGGAAGGGTCGCATTGGCCGGCCCACTTGTCGGCCTGGCTGACGAGCCCCTCGTCCGGACCGGCCGGCCGTCAGCTCGAGTCAGCGGCAGTCCGAGCCTCTCCGCTGCAGCCACTCAGCGCGGCTGCAAGCAGAGCCTCGAGCCAACCGGGACTCGAGCGTGTCCATGATTCCGACCTGAGGCCCCGGCGGCGACATGTGATGACGCAGTCGGCAGCAGACGCGGCTGTCGAGAGGCGGTGGGCCAGAGTCCCGACGACTGTGCTACACCATTCCGACCTGGACCGGGAACAGGCGGACGCCGAGGCGGTCTCTGTGGAGCCTACGGCCTCAACAGCCCCGTCCTCCCCCTCCCACTCCGCCTCTTCTTCATCCTCCTCTTCCCCATCTTCGACTGTATCTTCTTCGTCTGCCTCTGCCTCGTCGTTGCCGCCCGCCTCGCGAAGTACCAGTTCTGGCTACAGTCTATTGTCGGGCGGGGCGTCACGACCCGAGCCGCTAATCGTGTACAGAGGCTTCTCGACACCTCTTCTTTATGCTCATCTGCCCATTCAAGAGCGCGTCCGCAAGGGGGCACTCTGCAGAGTTGAGGTGGAGGAAAATCAACCGTTGAAGTCAACGGTTGGCCATTTGGAGCCAAAGGTAGATTTGCCAGTCTTTGTGTGTCTTTGTGTGACTCTGGCTACGTGGGACCAAATGTTCCCCTTCCTGGAAAGTTGGATAAAAGTCAAGAGGTGAATTCTCCTTTTTCCTCGCACCATTCGTAGAGTAAAATCTCTGGTCAGAGATAAAGGCCATATTTAATACATGTCAATGTTCAAGGTAACCTACACCCTTTAGCAAAGTCCCGACAGCAGGTACTTTGGCACACATCATTATGAACATCTTGCCACAGACAGACATGCTTTGCTTATCTTGACGATTCATTCAAGTACACTGGCAGCAACTAATAAGCAGTCTGTCCTTTTCATGACTTCTATAGACCTAGGTCGCTGTTACCATGCTGATTGTGGGATTTCACGAAGTGAACTGAGGAGTGGGCCCCACGATTTCTCGTTAAAGTTGTCTTCACCTCGAGTGGGACTCGAAACCTGCGCAGATGACACTTTAAGGCAATTCGCACCTCAACTATA